TGGAGTATCTTAGATGGCTGCTCACAGGCTTTTAAGACCCCAGACACTACTCACCAAAGTAGAATGTAGAACATTTTCTTTATAAACTCTGTTATGCCAGTTGAGCTAGATGTTCCCCAAGACCATGGTCCCCACAGCCCTTAGCCCAGTAATTCAGTCCCTTAGGGAGTTTGGATGTGTCTATGGAGCGTCCGTCACCTTGCCTTGTACAGGTTGTGCTCGCTTCCCCAGTATTGTGTACTGTCTTACCTTCACCAGAGTTACCACTTATCTGTTATCTGTTTAGTGTTTTACATCTTCACCCCTCCCCTCCCTCGTAACCATCAAAGATTGTTTCTTTTTATGTGTAAACCTTTTTATGAGTTTTTATAGTAGTGGTCTCATACAGTATTTGTCCTTTGGTCATCACCAAATTTAAGTCCATTTAGCAATAATGCTCCTGTAAATTTTAGAGAGATAGAAAGAATGCATCAACTGTTTACCAACATCTGAATAAAAACATGAAATTATCTTCATCTGATTTTTATTTCATTTTCATTAACACATTTCCTTTTGATCTGAACTTTTTTTTTTTTTTTTGGCAGCTTTATAATTTTATTTGATGGTCAGCTATTAATTTTCATCCACGTTGACTGTCTGTAAATTTTTGAAAGTGGTGACAGGGACATAGGTAACCAATGTATAGAGCTTGTTTGGTGAGTCTTCGTCCTTGTTACGTTTTCTGGACAACCAGACGCGGATTCGGTAGGGGACGTTTCTTATGCGTTTGGCCCAGACAGCTTTGTTGAGCCTGGTGTCAATGCGCACGTCTGGGGTTCCCATCTCCTTCATGGCAAATTTCCAGATCTCCTTGAGTGCCCGAGGGGCACGCTTCTTGAAGCCCATGCCATGGATACGCTTGTGAATGTTGATGGTGTACTCTCTGGTCACCACTTCGTTGATGGCAGAGCGGCCCTTCTTCTTCTCGCCACCCTTCTTTGCGGGAGCCATCCTGCCTGGACCAGGATGGAAAGCAGATCTGAACTATTTTTGAGATATACTAAATGAAATTTCTCCCTTCTAGTGATTAACATTTTACCAGCTTAATACTTAATGATTTGCATTTATTTTCCTTTTTCTGAACTAGATATTATTTAAATTGAGGCTTTTCAGTGTATTTCTGTATTTAATATGGTGTACAACTATTTCAAAGTAAATTACCTATAAAATAGAGTCACTTAATTGAACAAAATAAATCTGATCATGGCAATATTGAACATTAAACATATCACTTTTTAATAGTACTGCCCTACTATTGATTACAAGAACACATATCTAAAAGCTTGTATTTCATACTCAAGGTTCATGAAGATAATTAGCAGAATTTATGAATAAGGAAGACGAAGAAGAATTGATGCATTTTTCTTTATATAAAGAAAAAAAGAACTTGCCTCCAAATCAACTACTTATCTGCATCTGATCCATTTTCTCTGTCTTCCCTGTTACAGAAGTGCTGTTCCTTATAACAGAAACCTGTCTCTTCATATTCGCTCCACGCTTCTTCTCTTGCTTCTGCAAGACTTCTCTGTTGGATATTATTCCCTTTCTCTATCACATCACCAGTCTCTTCTCTCTACTGTATCATTCCTGGAGCCCTCATGGTGCAGTGATTAAGACCTCAGCTGCTAACCAAAAGTTCAGCAGTTCAAATCCAGCTATTCCTTGGAAGACCTGTGGGGCAGCTCTCCTCTGTCCTGTAGGCTCGCTATGAGTCAGAATTGACTCGACAGCAATGGATTTAGGGTTTGTTTGTTTTTAACTATCATTCCTATCTTATGTAAACTTATAAACATGGCTCATTCTTAAGGAATAAAAATTCTTCCTTTGACCCCACATTCCTCACCAGCTACTGCCATACCTTTCTACTCCCTTTCCATAGCCAAGGGTCCCTGGTGGCACAGTGGTTAAAACGCTCAACTGCTAACCAAAATGTTTGCAGTCGAAACCCACCAGCCACTCTGTGGGAGAAAAATGGGGCAGTCTGCTTCCGTAAAGATTTACAGCCTTGGAAACCCTATGGGGCAGTTCTGCCCTGTCCTATAGGGTCGCTCTGAGTCGAAATGCACTCAGTGGCAGTGGATTTGGGTTTTTGTTTTTGTTTTTTTTCATAGCCAAACTCTTTTTGTTTTGTGTTGTTGTAGTTAAGTGCTGTCGAGTCAGTTCCAACTCATAGTGAACCTGTGACAACAGAACGAAACACTACCCAGTCCTATGCCATTCTCACAATCGTTGTTATGTATGAGCCCATTGTTGCAGCCACCATGTCAGTCCATCCCGTTGAGGGCCTTCCTCTTTTTCGCTTACCGTCTACTTTACCATGCATAATGTCCTTCTCCAGGGACTGGTCCCTCCTGATAACATGTCAGAGTACATGAGACAAGTCTCGCCATCCTTCGTTCTAAGTAGCATTCTGGCTGTACTTCTTCCAAGACGGATTGGCTCATTCTTTTGGCAGTCCATGGTATATTCAGTATTCTTTGACAGCACCATAATTCAAAGACGTCAGTTCTTCTTCATCTTCCTTATTCATTGTCCAGCTTTCATATGCGTATGAGGCAATTGAAAACACTGTGGCTTGGGTCAGGCACACCTTAGTCCTCAAAGTGACATCTTTGCTTTTTAATACTTTAAAGAGGTCTTTTGCAGCAGATTTGCCTAATGTAATGCGTCATTTGATTTCCTGACTGCTGCCTCTATGGGCATTGATTGTGGATCCAAATAAAATGAAATCCTTGACAACTTGAATCTTTTCTTTGTTTATCATGATGTTGCTTATTGGTCCAGTTGTAAGGATTTTTGTTTTCCTTATGTTGAGGTACAGTCTATACTGAAGGCTGTGGTCTTTAATCTTCATCAGTAAGTGCTTCAAGTCCTCCTCACTTTCAGCAAGCAGGGTTGTGTCATCTGCATAAAACAGGTTGTTAATGAGTCTTCCTCCAATCCGGATGCCACATTCTTCTTCATATTGTCCAGCCTCTCGGATTATTTGCTCAGCATACAGACTGAATAAGTATGATGAAAGGATACAACCCTGAGGCACACCTTTCCTGATTATAAACTACACAGTATTCCCTTTTCCTGTTCTAATGACTGCTTCTTAGTCTATGTACGGGTTCCTCATGAGCACAATGAAGTGTTCTGGAATTCCCATTCTTTGCAGTGTTATCCATAATTTGATCCATACAGTCAAATGCCTTTACATAGTCAATAAAACATAGGTAAACATCCTTCTGGCCACAAATATGGATCCCCTCCAGTCGGTTGGCCAGGTAGTTGTCTTCCAAATTTCTTGGAAGGTGAGTGAGCACCTCCAGCATTACATCCGTATGTTGAAACATCTCAATTGGTATTCCATCAATTCCTGGAGCTCTGGTTTTGTGCTGTGGTTATTTCCTCTCCCCCCATTCATTCTTCAGCCAACTCCAGTCTGGCATCCACCACTCCCCAGACCATGGACACTGCTTCTGTCAAGATTTTTGTTATCAGATCCAAGGCTTCCATATTTGTGCTTGTAGTGAACCAGAGAGCTTATGCCCCAGCAAAGGCCATTCAGATTCAAAAAATTTGTTAACATTGTGCTAGAAGTTTGTAACCTCTCCTAAAATGTTGAGGTTCTTTAGTCATGCCCTCTCCTGGGCCCTCTCTTCTCTATGTGCTCTCTAGCGATCTTATCCATGTTTAAATACAGCCTATATGTACCAAAAATCTCCATATTTATATATCTATCCCAAACCACCTCTCTCAGTTATAGATTGTATATCTTACCTCCTGCTTGGGTATCTCATAGGTGTCTCCAGTGAAAAACAAACTGAAACTAGAGCAACAACATGAATCTTAAAAGCATATTATTGGGCAAAAAATCATAAAAGGATATATACTACCTGATTACATTTATATAAAATTTAAATAAAAACTAGTAGAACTAATCTGTAATGTTAGAAGTCAAGATGTTGTTAGGTGCTGTCGAGTCAGTTTCATCTCATAGCAACCCTATGTTCAACAGGATGAAACACTTGCCCAGTCCTATACCATCCTCACAGTCGTTGCTGTTTGAGCCCATTGTTGCAGCCACTGTGTCAATCCATCTTGTTGAAGGTCTTCCTCTTTTTCACTGACCCTCTACTTTACCAAGCATAATATCCTTCTGCAGGGACTGGTCCCTCCTGATAGCATGTCCAAAATAAGTGATACGAAGTCTCTCCATCCTTGCTTCTAAGGAGTGTTCTGGCTGATTTGTTCGTTCTTCTAGCAGTCCGTGGTATGTTCAGTATTCTTCACCAACACCATAATTTACCACTTGTCTGCCAGCCTGCCTGTACTGTGGTAGCTTATGTGTTGCTGTGATGGTGCAAGCAATGCCGCCAGTATTTCAAATACCAGCAGGGTCACCCATGATGGACAGGTTTCAGTGGAGCTTCTAGACTAAGACAGAGTAGGAAGAAGGACCTGGCAATTGCTCTGAAAAAATTAGCTAGTGAAAACCTTATGGATAGCAGCAGGAATCAAGATGGTGGAAGCTTTTTCAAAAAATCCATCAGCAAATAATCTACTTTCTACCTTCAGAATATATCTTGAATCCAGTCGTTTCTATCTCCAGTGCCACGACCTTATCCTAAGTCATTTTCATTATTTCCTCTGGATTACTGTAATAACATTGTATCTGTTCTTCCCTACTCCCCTCTTTGCTTCTCCGGTTTATTCTCCATGTAGTAGCAAGCATGTTCTTCCTAAAACAGATGAAGTCACATCAGTCTACTACTTAAAACCCTTCCATGTACTAGAATAAAATCCGTTGCACTACAATAAAGTTCTAACTCTTTACTTTGCGTGACCTATTTTTCTAACTTCATCTCATGTTAGTTAATTCTTTCTATTTCACACACACTGACCTTCTTTCTATTCTTTTAAGATACCAAAGTATTGACTATCTCAGGGCCTTTATTTCCGTTGCTGGAACCCTGCCACCTGCCACGCAGCTTGGTCCTTCTCATCTTCAAGACCTCAGAGAGGCTTTACTTATCCATTCTCTTTAAGTAGAACATGCCCCCGCGGCCACCAGCACTTTATTCTTACCACAATACCCTGTTTGTTTTCATTATAGCTCTACAACAAGTTACAATGAAATATTTATTGACTTGTTTATTGTCTGTCTGCGTGATTCAGCCATAGGGTAGGGACCGTGTCTGTTTTCTTTCCGCTATAATCAGATCCTAGTATAGTACATGGCACAAAACAGATGAGAATAAAGAACTATGCTAGTTTAAACCTGTTGCCGTCTAGTCGATTCCGACTCATAGGGACCCTATAGTACAGAGCAGAACTGCCCCATATGGCTTCCAAGGAGCGGCTGATGGATTCAAACTGCCGACCTTTTGGTTAGCAGCTGTAGCTCTTAGAGCCAAATTCCTAAATACAGCAACTCAGCAATTTGGCGGGAGCGGGGAGGGGAAACCCTCACAGGGATCTTCTCTCAAACAAAAGTCATTCCTAAATCTTAGAATTATTGAAGAAATCAGACTTTTCCTGAACCCCTTTCCTAAGTTTTTCTAGCCAATGTTTGACAAACTTAAGAGTTTTTGTCTGCTCCAGTGAAATTCAACCAGAACCACCTAAACTCAAGAATGAAACAATTAAATCATTATAATGGGATGAACTTGAAGGAAGGGGCTGACTAGTCAATCCTAAAAATGCATTGAGAGTTCTGTATCTCACAGGAGATAACTGGCGAGATTTCACAGACTTTGAAGAAAGTGGGGAGGCTACATGGCAATGAAGAGTGATATTTTTTGAGGCATAAAGTATGATGTGGGAGTAGGGATTTCAAAGTGCAGTAAGAAAATGAAGACATTCACTCTTGGTATGAAGAAGATAAGGAGTAGTGATAGAGATTATATAAAACAGATTAATGGAGGCTTTGAAAGCAACAGTGAGATTTGAAGGGGAAAGTAGAAAGTTACTCCAGCTTTCAGAACTATCAAGGCGATAAATTCATCAG